TACAAAATGTACATACATGCTAAATATAGCTATGTATATATTTATTTATACATAAATATATTACATACTGCTCTCCATTCTGTATCCTATATGTCTCCTAACAGCCTCTGTAAAATGCTCAGCCTTCCTGCATTCCTCATTCTGGAAATATACTGAAGCCACAGAACAAGGGGTTATTCAAGTGGAATAATTGTGAAGGTTTATCTTCAGGCACAGGCAGCCCAAAGTGGGGTAAGGTTTGAACCCAAGGAGTGGGAGTGTTTCGAGAATTCTGTCCATCCAGGCTCTACCATGAAGGTGTCAAATCTTTTGATATTACTGGGAGGGACTCCAGTAATAAATAATGCTATGTGCTGAAACACAGGTGGGGGACAGGGCTTTTCCTATTCAACTTCATTCCAGACTCTGACTAGAGGGTGGTGGTGGTGGCATCTTACAGTCCTGGGGTGACATTTGGGTAGGCACTTCAAAGGTGCCAGTGGGACACAGCTTCCAGTGTAAAATTCAAGTAGTTCCGAAAACTCAGTGATCACAATAAACAATATCTTAATGTGATACTTTTAAAACTCAAGATTAATTCAAGAATCCACAATGAAACTAAACTAAAGGTAGTCTTCCCAAAGTTCTGTCCCCACAAAAACCTCCACTCGGATGTTTTTAGCAGCTTTGTTCATAACTGCCAAAACCTGGAAGCAACCAAGATATCCCTCAGTAGATGAATGGATAAACTGTGACACATCTAGATGCTGGAAAATTATTCAGTGCTAAAAAGGAATGATCAAGCCAGGAAAAGACATGGAGGAAACGTAAATGCACATTACTAAGTAGAAGAAATCAACTTGCAGTTTACATTCTGTCTGATTCCTTTATGACATTCTGGAAAAGGAAAAACTATAAAGGTAGCAAAAAGCTCAGAGGTTGCTAGGAATTAGGGTGAGAGAGATAAATAGGTGGAAGACAGAGGATGTTTAGGGCGGTGAAAATACTCTGTATGAACATGGCATCATAATTTGTGCAAACTCATACAAAGTACAAAACCAAGATTGAACCCTAAGGAAAATTATGGGCTCTGGGTGGTAATGATGTGTAGATGTAGTTTCACCAACTGACCCCAATGCACCCACTCTGGAGGGACACACTGGTAGCAAGGGAAGCTGTACGTGTGTGGGGCAGGGATATATGGGAATGCTCTGTGCTTTCCTCTCAGATTTGCTCTTAACCTAAAACTGCTCTGAAATAATAAAGTCTTTAAGAAAAAAAAATAATGCCCAGTACGGCAGTGCATGCCTCTAACCCCAACGGGTCAGGAGACGGAAGCAGGAGGATCGCAAGTTCAAAGACAGCCTCAGCAACTTAGAGAGGTTCTAAGAAACTTAGTAAGACCCTGTTGCAAAATTTTAAAAATAAATAAACAAAAATAAAAATAAATAAATAAAAGGCCAGGGATGTGACTTAGTGGTTAAGCACTTCTGGGTTCAATCTCTGGTTTAAAAAAAAAAAAAAAACTACAATGAGCAAACCATCAAAACTTTCAAGAAATAAAGATAAACAGGGCTTTGAAGGAGATCTTAAGGCTCTGTGGATTAAGATAAATGTCAATGCACAGTTCTAAAAGACCAACTATGGATTTCCAGGAGGTCCCAGCTCTAAGTGTCCAATCTGCAGCCTCTGAGGCCCCTTGGGGTCACAATTATGCCACCATCATGCTGTGGACACCGTAAATCTGGCTGGGTTCTCCAGAAAGTGCCACTCTTCCCAGGAGCCTGTGTTAAAGAAGGCCAAGTACAAGGGGATTTACCTAAAGACGAGGCTGAGCAAGTCCCCTAGCATTTAGACTCCTGTGACTCACATTTTCCCCTTTATTTCCCATCCTTGTCAAATAGATTTACACCAGGCGGGCCAGGTGCATCTGGGAGGACATTTCCAAATTGGCCTAGAAGAGGTGGTCAAGGGCAATTCCAACCTTGCTGTCCAGGTGCCGGCTTCATTTTTCTGAAACCATAGCCTTCCTCACTTTGGCAAATTTCTCCTTCTCTCCTGTCCTCTCCCTGTGTCTGTTTCTATCCAAAAATTAGGAAAAATCACAGATCAAAAAGCCACTCATGAAGTTGGCAGAATAAATACTTGGGACTTTTTTTTTTTTTTTAACGTACTGTGGCAGAGTGTGGAGCAGCACTTTAAGGGAAAGTGGCTGCAGAGTAAAATAATGCTTTGTAAAAGTACAGCCACCCTTGTGCACAAACACCAGCCACTCTCAGCAACTCCTTGGGCAAGGCTGCCCCCAGCTCCTGCAGTCTCTCTGCCCTGAGGCTTGGTTCCTGAACTCTGCAAGTATCTACCTGCACAGCCAACTGTGGATGCTGCCAGGGGAAATTCCTGCCTTGGAAACAAAGGATCTATTATCCAACACTCAAGGTCCCCCAGGTATGGGGGGAAGGGGAATTGGCAGTTCTTTTTATCTTCATTTTCTTTTGCAAAGCAGAGGCTATCTCTACAGAGACCTGAACCTCACTCATTTCCTGCAAAGCACAAAGGAGAAATTCCACTCCCAGCCTGGCTCCTGCTCCAGGTCTGAGCAGGGTTGAGAAAGCACAAAGCTCTTCAATCCAGAGGAAAGCCGCAGCCTGGTGGCAGTGGAAAAGCCATGTCATCTTCATACAGCATGCTCCTGTACCTACCTTCACGTATAAGGTGAGACTAACAGGAACTAGAGGTCTGTACTTCCTGCTCCTGCCATTTAAATAACTGTGCCCTACTAACAAACAAACAGGCAGATTTTCCGTGGCCTTCCTCTCTCATTTGAAAAATAAGGACCCTGCATTACTAATCTAAGATCAAGTATACAAATTTAATATTAAATATTAATGATGAACCTTTGCATGAGCTTCATATTTAGTAAAATTGAAACGACAAGGATTAGCATGGCTGACTCTTGCACAAAACAGGAAAATAAAAAATGTTCCATGTTCTTAAGATAATCAGTGATATATCTTACAAATAAACAGAAGAGAGGCACTCAAAGGGTCCCAGCACACAGTAATGATAAGGAGACGGAAACATTAATTGCCCTGATTTGATCAATACATACTGTACACATGATGAAGCATCACACCACACCTCATAAATATGCACAATTACGTGATCATAAAAGTTTATTTTTTAAAAGTTTAAGTGCATCGGGGCTGTACTCAGCGGTAGCGCACTTGCCTGGCATGTGTGTGGCACTGGGTTCGATTCTCAGCACCACGTATAAGTAAATAAAGGTCTATCAACAACTAAAAAAAAAAAAAAAAGTTTAAGAACCCAAGTGTGGTGGTGCACACCCGTAATACCAGTGACTCAGGAGGTTGAGGCAGAAGAATCACAAGTTTAAAACCAGCCGCAGCAACTTAGTGAGGTCCTAAGCAATTTAGTGACACCTGGTCTCAAAATCAAAAAAGAAATATCAAGGGTTGGATATGTGGCTCAGTGGTTAAGCACCTCTGGGTTCAATCTGTGGTACAAAAAGAAAAAAAAAAAGCTTAAGGCGAAGTAACTACCCTGCTTCGATCATTATATGATGTATACACATGTTGAATTACACTGTACACTATTTGTCGAATTAAATTGATAACTAATGAAAAATTACCAGGCAAAAGTAAAAAAAAAAAAAAAAAAAAGAAAATATTGACAACCCAGAGGATAATAGTTTTTTGTTTTGTTTTTAGGACCAATTTGCTCTGGTTGGGGAAACAAAATCAAAGTAGCATTGTATATCTATCTGCCCCTTTCTTTTCCCAGCAAAATACTTGCTAGGTTTCACTAGCAGAATTCAGCTGTCTTCTGCATGGGCCAGACCCTGAAGATTTTTTTCACATTGTCCCTTTTCCTCTTTGATGTTACCCTGACTTCATCTGTCTGCACCCACAAGTACCAAGTGGGAACCTGCACTATGTGGCAGACGAAGCATATGAAACACCAACCCAGCAGCATGCTCTGCAAAGAGGCTTAAATTCTACTTGATCCTGTGACTTGTGCATTTTGTTAAAGGGAGGAAAAAAAAAAAGAACAACAACAACAATAAAAAACAAAGCAAGCTATAAAGTGAATTTCCTATAAAAATAGATGATATGTGGTAATGGTAGAAAGTTAGAATCTCTGCTTCCTGGGAAAACTTTCTGAAAAGAAAAGCAGCTTCCTATTCGTGGCTTTCACAACTGTCGTCCTGGGAGTGATGGCCACGATGACCCCCTTCTTCCTGGAGCCATTCATATCCTCTACCAGACTGCCAGACAAGTGGTGTGAGGCTGCTAATACCCTCCTCTCCAGGCATGCACCCCAACCAGTGGCTCTGGGACTGGTGGAGGAAGCCTTGGGAGGTGAGGCCAGGCTTTCTGTAGTCTGTCCTTGGAATTCCTTATTCCAGGAACACAGGAAAGTACTACCAGCCTCATGGCTCAAGCTGCTAATTTCAGCCACTTCTGAATGTGCCCAGTCTCAGCAAATCTTCAATACTTGATATTTGTTATGGTTTGGATTTTAAAGGTCTCTTAAAGTCTGTATGTTAAAAGCTTGGTTACCAGACTGTGGTGATTACTGGGAGACAGTGGGACTTTATGGAAGGAAGTTAGATCATTGAGGGGTGTACCCTGGAAGGGGATTTCAGGATTCTCTGTTTGCTTTCTGGCCACCATGATGTGAGCAGCATGGCTCTACTTTGCATTCCCTGCCATAATGTACTACCTCACCACAGTTCCAAAAGCAATGGACCATGGACTGAAATCTTTAAAACCATGAGACAAAATAGGTCTTCCTTATAAGTTGATTACCTCAGTTATTTTGTCACAGTGATGGAAAGCTGACTAACATAATAATATTAAATCAACAAAATTCCCCAGGATCTGTGTTTTTACAAATAACAGTTGAATTTATATTTGAAACGCACGGATTTGTGTTCAAAAGTGTAAATATACACATGTACAATCAGAAAGAGGCATCAGAACCTGCCTCCGGAAGCTTACCCAGAGATCTTTCTTTTGTCTGGTTGGTTGACCTCACCACAGGAAGGCTTGCACGAGTTCGGCTGCCTCTGGAAAAAGGACTTGGCGCCTCCCCTTCAGACATGGCTTCCAAAGAATCACCGGACGTCTCTGATAAATGCTCGACTGGGTCACTCAAACTGGGAGGTTGAGGACTATGAGACAGTTTGGGACTTCTTGTCTGAAAAAGATATTTTTAAAGACAGTGGGAAAATTGATTAATTATACTGAAAATATTTTCAATGCCATCTTTGCCAATCTAAAAATAGAATATGGTCAAGGGGGAAAGGCCACCAGAAGGATTGAATGGGGTTAGTTGTGAAGGTTACAGAAAAAAATTATCCATGAGTACTCCATTAAGAGCATTTTACTGCTGGACATCTAGTGTACAAATGCCATTTCAAACAGGGAGTTGGGGACAAGTCATGTCACAGGAAAAGAATGATGGCAAATCAATTCCTTTTGCCAGACAAATTTTCACAGTTGTCATCACAACAGACGGGACTATGCACATTTCAATACACTCAACAGGGATGCAGTACTCGCACCAGAGTGGCTGAACACAGCCAGTCCTTCAGAGTCGTTTATCAAGGCTATTTCCAAAATCAGCAAACTAAAATGGTAAAGGGAGATATTTATATCACCGTTGAATATTTTTATTTTGAGGCAGCAAAATCCCATAAGTAAGATTATATCTAGCTTTGGTTATTATTTACCTTGCTAATCAAGAAAAAGTATCTATAATGATTTAAGCCAACCCACTCAGCACCCAGTTGAATTTCTCTCCTAGTTATCTCTGCTGCAGTGGCAGGGGGTGAATGTGCAACATGCTCATGATCTATTAGTCAATACTATTCTTGGAACATGAACTACAAGTGGGCACTGTGGGAGATTCAAAAGAAAGAGGCAACATGTAGACTGATGTCAAAAGTTTCTGAACTAATTGGTGAAATTTGTGAAGAACAACAAATAACCCAAGGTAATGTATAATTAAAGTATAAACTATGAATTGGGTGACATATCTATTTGCTTTTCAACAAACACTTATTAAGCACTTCCTGTGTTCCAGGCACGATGCTAGGTATTGGGGACAGAATACTGCACAAAACAAACAGGACTTATGCCCTGATGGTATTCATAATCCAGAAACAGGACACAATTTAAGATAAATTAAGGGTGCAAGGAAGTGTGCAACTCAAACGGTGGTGGTGGTGGGGTTATGAGTGGAGAGACAGAAACACAGAAAAACTTTGATCCCAGAAGGAGGGACAAAGAGAGAAAGAAAGACACCCTGGTTGTAGGGGATAGCCTGTGCTAAGGTCCCACACCAGAGAAAGTGGTGATCCTTGGAGATTTGGTGGGCAAGAGAGCAGAGCACACACAAAGTCTTGGAATCACGGTGAGAATTTTCCCTTTGACTGCCAAGTAGCAGAAGGCCATTGAGGTAGTTAGGGAAAGGGATGAGGTAGGAAAGATCAGATAAAGTTTTTCGAAGATCACTCTGGCTATTGTGTAGAGATTGGAGATTATATATGTACAAGGGCAGAGAAGGTGAGCTAGAAAAACTGGGGGGTTATGCTGAGTGAATGCATTATCTCAATTTCCCCTTCTTCCATGGCCCATCTTTATTACATGATTCCATGCACTAGCTGTGAAGCAAACTGATTTGGAATTAACCAGGCAGGCTGGTGATAGGAAACTAGTCATCTCCAAGAGCCAGGTTTTGTTATGTTGCATTCTTAATTTCCTTTAATCCTTCCTAAGGCTGCCAATGCATTTTGACATTAAGCACCAAGACTCTTAACTCTCAAGGTAGGGCAAGCTTCCTGGGAGTACACTGCAAAGTCAGGCAGGGCCCTGCTCTCCAAAGGGTCTGCAGATGGTTTTATGCTGCACTATGACATTCCTAAACTTCTTAATGAGTTTTTTGAACAAGAGACCCTGGAAATCATAGAGCAAGTAAGTCCTTCCTCCAGGCTCTGACTTTAATTCTTTGACTCTGGCATTATTTGAGGAATGCCCCAGGTGTGCTGGATACTCAAAGGGACATTTTGAGGATTGCATTGTCCATTTCTCCCCCTCTTTCTTGAAATATGTAAAAGGAAAACCCTCTTGGCAGAAGCACTATCATGTTACCTGGACACACACACACACACACACACACACACACATCTTGCTACACCTTTCAGAATCTTCTCATAGAGAGAAGTAGGAATAAGATAATTCTTCTTCTTCTGCATCCCCAAAAGGCTTTCGGGGAGATGCCTGGGTATCTCATAGGAAACTCAGCTTTGGGGAGATGCCTGGGTATCTCATAGGAAACTCAGCCAATTTACAAGCCAATGAGATTACAAGTCAAAATCACGGCCAGAATGGACATCCATTAACAAGCAAATTGTCCTTGCTGGTTAATTTTTCTGTGCTTATTTCCAACGTGGTTTGTTCCCAGATTTACTTTTCATAAAGCCTGCTTCTATTATGGGGATCTGGCTTTGGCACCCTTTAAGAGTATTATTTGACTAGGAAAATCATCCCTAAATGAATAACTTGCTCACCAAGATTTACAAAAATTTATGTGGTCTTCAATGAAGTAGTTTCCCAGTTACTGTGCTCAGCAGAATAGCAAACTAAGATGCCCTCATTCCTACCTTAAAAAAAAATACACATTTAGTTTAGCAGCATAGCCAAGAAATAACATTACTGTAAGCAATAAGGCAGCATTTACCACCTCTACTGGTCATCTTTGCAGCCTACAGCAGACACGTTACATTTGATGAGTTGTCATTTTCCATTGTAAAAAGCAATAATCCTTGAAGAAAATAAAAATCAAATCTCTATTTCTTCTTCAGGGTCATCATCGTGGTAGGTAAGTATTAAAATAGAGATGTAAGGGCTAATCTTTTTTTTTTTTTAACTGCCTATACATAGCTATTCAGTTCTATATCTAAATTCCTCCTCTTCTTTTTTTTTTTTTTAAATATATGTCATTCACTTTCTCATTGAAAACTATCCCTGTATATTAGCAATCTCCTCACACATGGTACCCTCCCCTCTGATGTCAGCTTGCTGCTGAGACATCATTTAGTTCAGGGAGAAGACAATGGAAATTGCTGACTGCAGGATCAGAACATTGACTTGATACATTGAAAAAATAAAAAGGTTCAAAGCGTTTGGAAGAGGAACTCAGCACAGTGCTAGGCTCTGGGGGATGACAGCTTCTAAGGCATTGAAGGTACCTTTTGGGACCAAAGATAACATATCCATAACAGTAGAGCTAAGAAGCAAGCCATGGTGGTACAGAGAGGGGTTTCCATTTCACCTTGGGCCCACCTATGGAGTTGGGCCTCTATCGACTGAGACCTCCTAAAACATGAGCCAAATAAACTTCTCCTCCACCTGTTCTTTTTCAGGTTGTTTGGTGACAGCAATGAAAAAGTTGACTAAAACAACTGTCTAGAGCAGTAGTACCCCCATTATTTTGTATTTCAAGGAGTAGACCTTTCAAAAAAATTATAGGAGGTTACAAGGTGGAATACTGTTATTTTTGCAAAGTTAGAGGTGATGAAAAAATAACTTTATGGCTGGTGGTGTCACTTAGTGGTAGAGCTTTGCTGTGCATGCATGAAGCCCTGAGTTCTATCCCAACCCCCAAACAAGACAAAACAAACCCTACTGTGTATGGATCATTATTACCCCAAGAAAGCAAAAATATTTTAATGCCCTGAAAAGAAAGGCAAGATACTCATGCAGTTTTAGATTTGGTCTCATTTTTGCCTCAGCTAAAACTTTTTCTCAGTGCTGCATGGTCTACAGCTCAGTAGTGGAAGGCTGGGCTCTAAAATGCTGAATAAGGAACTGTCCCTACCTGGGGAGGGAGCAGGGGACTAGGAAAATGTTCTCTGGGCCCCTTAAGCAGGCTTCAAGTTTCCCTAAGACTGGATTTCCCTTCTTGCCCAGGGAATCTCTAATACCAATCTCCTTCTGTTTCCATCACAACCTTCTAGAGATTTCTATAGGTCATCCCCAAACCTACAAACTCAAACAGGGGGTCTGTACAAGTCTGAATCCACTTGTCCTTTCTAGTCTTCTGTTCTTCAAAGAGGATTTCCTATCCCTCCCAAAACACTGGTGTCAGAGGCTTCCAGTAGCTCTCCTCTCAGCTTCATCTACAATTTATAGAATATTCTCTTCCTAATGGAGGGGTGAGGGAGGAGTGAAAGGAACTAACATATGGAGTGCCTGGGTCACCATGCCAGATGATTGATATGGAAATCTCATTGTAACATCACTGGTCACCATGGAGAAAACAGCAGTGCTGACCAACTGGTACCAAATAAAGGAACTGAGATCCAGTGTGTAGGATTCCACAGCTGATACTCAATGGTTTGGTTGTTTCACCAGGAGTCTGGGGGTGTTGGCTCTAGTTTAGCTTCCACCAAAAGCTGGTCAATTTCTAAACTCATTGGATCACAACTATCTTATCTAAAAGGCAAGAGCTTGAACTAGTTGGTATTTAAGATCCCTTTCAGGACTAAAATTGCATAACTCTAAGATATACATCATACAAAGAAGAAAAGATCATGTCATCCAAAAAAAAAAAAAATCAGTCGACTGAGGTTTCCTACAAATTATTTACCATATTGCACCTGCTCTATAGAAATATATAGCGAGGCAGTGGCGAGATCTAGTTTTCTGCACAGCATTAATTTTTAAAAGACTGCCAGGCTTGCATTTTTATCACTGTGAACAAATATTTGCTGAAATGTTCACTATGTGCATTATGCTTTACTAGGGGATCAGATTTATTCTTATTTTTTGCAATGCTGTTGGATTTGAAGACCACAGCCAAAGAGGAAGGAAAATTAGAGAGTCATCGATGATATTTTGTTCGTTCACATTTTTCAGATCCTTTAAATTCTAAAATGAAATGCTGAGGTCCAGAAAACGAATCAAAACTGTAGCTTTATGTAACAAGTTCATTGTCAGGAACAGTAGGGTTTCTGGTTAGCCAACTGTATTCACCTTCCTTCAGAGTACATTCTATTTTGAGAAGAAAAACCAATGTTGCCTTAATGAAGTTTCACTTCATCCTAATTAATGCCCAATTTGCCACAGAGAATTCAGAAATATAATGAGGCTTCCCACATGCAAATGTATTCGGAGTGACTCATTCTAGTCCTC